AACAAGAAACACAAGCATGGGGCATCTCTCATGCATTGACCAATAGTAATAATAACAATTGCTTTCAGATTAATTAGCTCTAATCATATTAAAAGAAAACAAATCTCAAGAGGAAACTAACAGGAAAAGAAAGAAGCAAGAGAAAAGAAAAGATATTTGTTTAGTAATGCATTTCACATTCAAAATGCTTTGAAATAAAGTTGGAACAGACAAAAAAAAAAACACACATTTGAAATTAAAATGAAACGAAAAAGCACAAAAAACCAAATGGATGATATCAATGTATGTGGTACAACTTTTATGGACAAAGCTTGAGCTTATCCCCTTGTTTAGCACTGCGGACAGCCAAAAAAAGTCGTGTACGGCCGGGACCACGATGGGGCCCACAAGGATACTCCTCTTAGTCCGTAACACGTGTCAAGGTGAAGCTAATAGCCACGAGGGACAGAATGATGAGCTTTTCTCTTCAAGGGGTAGGGCCGATGGGGTCCCACGGATTCCCTTCCAATTTTGACTCAGAGTTTGTCGCCTTGTGTGCCGACTCCACCCTTCTGTCCCGCACGTGAATCATCTCTTTCATTTTACTCTTTAACTTTTTCAGTTTGTTTTTTCTACCCTTTTTTAAACCACACCCACCCTCCCCCCTCGTCCCACAGGGTTAAATAGAACTGTGGTATAATTAGTAAATTTCAATAGTTTAACAAAACAATGAAGCATAGCTTTTATTACTAGTTTATCGTGTAAATAGAAATCAAATGATCAGTTAACAGTCATTAATTGATATATAATTTTTTTAAAAAAAAAGAAAAATTTAAAGATCTCTTTTTAAATATGAAAAAAATTGATCAGTTAGCAATTTTACATGAAACTAAGTTTCAAAATCACAAGTAAATGCTATTGAATTGAAGACATGGATGGAACGCTTAAGCTTAAGCTAGACGGACGTGAAAATTGTCATCATTGACGCAAAAACATACAAACTCTTTGTTTTGAAACCGAATGTGAAAATCAGTCAAATGTGGTGAACTGGGACTCTGACCAGATCCGCTACCTTTCTTTAGGGAGTTTCATTACCAATTACCAAAAAGCATAAAAGTGCTTCTTTTGGGTCTTCGTTCCTGGTAAAGCTTGATGAACAAGTAAAAATGAATATGTTTAAAACAATAATAAAGGTGGGGTTGGGTTAGCCCAACTTTTCGTCCCTTGTTTCGAGGCAGTGGACCAACCGGCACCAATCCCATTTTCTGCGTCCTTTTCCTCATGCGTGCTAGCTGCCTTCACCTATTTTCCTATGATTAAATATGGACAAAGGTCAAGTATATTTTTGTATTAAACAATCTGATAATTACTACTTTGAAGTCAAAGTAGCAAGTTTGAATAGCAAACAAGGATATTAATATTTATGAGATAAAAGATTCTTTTTTTTTCTTCTAAATTGAATGTTTATTCTTATTATGTTTCAAAATATATATATTTATTTTTTAAAATATGAAAAAACCTTCTTCAATATTATTCTTCATCTAAATATTAAATTTATGTGAGATCTTTTAATTTATATATGACCTCAAATGTAATTATTATACAATAAAACATAAAATATCTCATTTTTCAAATTTTACACTATTTTAAAAAAATAGAAAATTATTTTGATACGAAGGATTTTTTTTATTCTATAATTTATAACTTAATATTAAAAGGTTTTCATATGCATAAAAAATTTTAATATATTTGAAACACTTGTTAATATTGTCATTTAAATTTGAATTTAAAATAACTTGCTGGCAATCTTACTCAAAATGGATGGAGTCATCATAATTACAACCAGGGTTGGAGGGAGATGGGTGGCGGGGTGGCGGCCGCCACTCTTCAATTTTTAATTTTTTTTTATTTTTATGTGTATAAAATTCATAATATATAGTTTTGCCATCTTTATATAAAGTAAATGAGTTAATTTGAAGTAGTGGTAAGAAATTTAAGTTAACTTAAAAAGGTTAAGTTGAATTTTTTCGAGGTTCAAATTTTAGAATTTTTTTTATTTTATAAGTACAAGTATAATGTTTAAATAAGTTCCTAAATTATTTTAAAACATTTAAATAAATTTTTATTCTTTTATTACATTTCATTAAGTTTTTTCATTTTTTATTTTAAGTTAAATAAATCCTTATAACTTATGATTGATTAATTACTACTTATCAAAATATCACTTATCATTTTATATCCACATAATATTAACATGATATTGATATGTATGGTTAAAAATACTATATGATTATATTATTATAATAAATTAATATATTATGTAATTATTAATTATGATATCTTACCATGCCACGTTAACATTACGCTATATAAAATGATAAATAGGATTTTGACTAAGTCAATCATTGATCATAAAAACTTATTTGACACAAAATAAAATAAAATAAATTTATTTAACTCAAAATAAAAGTATAAAAATTTAATTAAATATAATAAACGTATAAAAACTTATTTGAATTTTTCTAAATAGTTTAAAAGTTTTTTATATATTATGCTATAAGTATACTAAACACTCTTTTCAATTTTTTCTCTTTTTATCTTTTTTATCTTTTTTTCTCCTTTATAAGTAAACTAAATTCTCTTCTTCTTTTTTTTCTTTTTCCCCCTTTTTTTTTACTCCTATATATTTATACTAAACCTTTTTATTCTTTTGTAGTCATCCAAGAATTTAAAAATATGAAAGCACATTGAGCACAACTTATGATGCTTAATGTAAAATTTTAATATTAATTTTTTTACTTTATGTTTATTTATATTGGTGGATTTGAAAACTTTTATTTAAATTATTAATGAAAATTTATGTTATAATTTAATTTTATTTCAAAACTGATTAAATTTTAATGAAATTTTATATTTTAATTTAATTTTATTTCAAAATTAATTAATTTTTTATTTCGAATTGAACCATTGACTAGATCCTTGTGCTTGTATGATTAATCTTTAGCCATACTTCATACAAAGTTATATATCCATCACTGATTGCAACAAGGTGTTTTAATAATAACAAAAGTTTCTTTTAAAACAAGTTAGAACGAATTGAGTTGTAGTATTAATTTTGTAATGATATAAAGTGATAGGTAATCAAATTTATAAATTTTGTTATATAAACAATTTATCAAAATGATAATTACAAAACATATAACTCCTAAACAAATACAATATTTAATAAAGAATTACTAAAGTGATGTTATTTAGGGATGTTAACAAGGTACGGTACCTGTTAATTTTGAAATATCCGAACTTGAACTAGATTAATAAATGAGATACCCAAACCTTATAATTACTCAAATGTTTTTTAAATTTATTAGCTTAACTTGAACCCTAATATATCATCACTACTTGATAATTATTCAAACTCATTTAAATACCTAATTATGTAAAAAATTATTAAAATGATCGTCATGGGTACTTAATTACTCGAATCTGAATCCGCATTCGCTTTTATTTATAATAATGTTTTCATCTATATTTCATATAATTAATTAATAATTAAATTTATAAAATCACACAAATAATAAAATTTAAATTTAAATAATCAAAAACAAATATTTCAAGTATCAATTTAAATAACTAAAAATAAATATCCGAATAACAACTTAAACAACAACATTACAAGTTTAATTAATGATACGAGTTTATTATTAATTACATGAAACTAAAAAAATAGCTTGGTTCAAAATCTATTCTAATCTCACCACTTCTTTTTAAATATATATTTTATAAATTTATAAAAATAAAAGTATATATATTATAATTAGTAATTTTATAAGTTATAATTTTTAAAACGTTAATCAAAATAAAAAGTAAATATGTTTATATATTTAAAGTATATATACTAAAAGTATATATATAATAATAATTATATTTTTTAGTAATTAACACAATATACAAAATACATGTATTAAAAAATATTATAAATTAATTAATAATTATAATTTTATAAATTAATTTAATTAATACTACAATTTATCTTTAATTATATAAAATTTTAAAAATATATAATCAAATTTGAGTATAGAATATTTAAAAAGTAATATTTTGAACCTGATACCAACAATGAAATTACTATCAAATTTTATCCGAATTTAATTATAAAATACCTTAATATTATATAATCGAAATCAATACCTACGAAGACACCATTATCATCCATAACGTTTTTCACTTAAAACTGTGGGGCGGGGGCCCAACTAGTTCACAGGTTGATGCATGGGGACCGCAGCATTAGGTGGCTAAGGAATAGGACTAAATTAAATAAAACTAAAATTCCTAAAATACTGAAACACCACTCTTATGGACGTCTGCACCTAAACCTTAAGCTTATGTCATCAGTCATCTACTCTAACGCGGGGTCCACTATCTGACACCATAGGATTTATGATGCAGTGTAGCTACGGTGCACCACGGTCACACCTTGGCTCCTTGGCTCGATTTTTAAGATTGTTCATAATTTGAAGTAGATAGCCCGCCTCCTCCACTTCCACCTCCTGCGGTGTTTGTGGTCCCAGGCTTCAGGAGATAAGATTAAGGACTCCAAGTAAAACTATCATCACACGGCATCAGTGTTAATAATAGATGGTGCTGATGTTCTCTGAACATGATTGGTGGGACCACCTAGATAAATTGTTCTTTGCTGCACTCGAAAAGAAACCACAATCGCAAAACGCCATTCAATTCCTTGGTTCACCCCTCCAGCGCAAGAAAAAGGAAAAGGGGCACTGAATTGAAGGGAGAAAGTCATGTCTCCCCAGTTTCAATTGAAAATGTCATCAAATAATGAGGTAATAAAACGATGAGAGTTGAGTGGTTAGGGTAGGAACGGGTGTGGTGCGAAGCATTGAATCATTTCTGGGGGTGGTTTGTTGTAAATATCAAAGAAGCTCAATGCTTCATCACTCCCTACCATCAATATCTGCGACCTCAACCCTCTCTAAAAAACTATTAGTACTAAAGAAAAAACTCCAATGCCACCGTCGGGAACACGCAAAAGCCTCTCTTCTCTCTCTCGTTACCCTCTTTAGACCACCACGTCACCCTGTCAAACTCCTCTTCACAGCCTGGCCAAACTCCTCTTCACATTTGAACCCCAATCCTCACTCTCCACGTGGCTCACCTTGACATTGACACCTCTGCTTCTACAGCTGTCCCCCTCTCTCAAGCAGCCGCTATAAATACCGTCCTCACTCCCCTACTCCACTCTCAATCTTTTCCAGCAAGCAGCTTTTTCATAACTAAATCTTGGCCCTCTACCCGCCAACATGGCTTCTATTTACTGCCTTGGCACTTTCTTACTCCTCTGTTTCATCCACCTTTCATCCTCCGCGTTAGTTCAAGAGCAACCTCTCGTTTTAAAGTACCATAACGGTCCACTCCTAAAAGGCAAAATCATCGTTAATTTCATCTGGTACGGGAAGTTTTCTCCCATCCAACGGTCCATAATCGTCGATTTTGTTAACTCTTTGAGTTCCGACCAGACAACGCTTCCTTCCTCATCATCGTGGTGGAAAACAACTGAGAAATACAAGGGAGGTTCATCCAACTTAGGCGTGGGCAAACAAATCCTCCTCGAAAATTACCCACTCGGTAAAATCCTTAAAAACCCTCATTTACCAGCGTTGGCCAGCAAATTTAATGGTGTCAATACCATTAACATCATTCTAACGGCCAAAGACGTCTCCGTCGAAGGCTTTTGCATGAGGTGCGGGACTCACGGGTCAACCCGGGTTGGCCGAGGCCCGATACGTGGAACCTATATCTGGGTAGGGAACTCCGAGACTCAGTGTCCTGGTCAATGTGCCTGGCCGTTTCACCAGCCTATTTACGGTCCTCAAACCCACCCTTAGTTGCCCCTAACGGAGACGTGGGAGTTGACGGAATGATCATCAACTTGGCAACCCTCTTGGCTAACACCGTTACCAACCCTTTAATAAACGGGTATTTCCAGGGCCCAGCCAACGCACCGTTAGAAGCGGTTCAGCTTGCACGGGATATTCGGTCGGGTTCGTATCCGGGATACCCAGGTAATCTCCTGGTGGAGAAGAGTACCGGGCGAGCTACAATGCAAACGGGCTTAACGGAAGGAAGTACTTGTTGCCGGCGATGTGGGATCCACAGACATCAACTTGCAAGACGCCTGTGTGATGGGGCACGTGGCGGAGTGATGACCAGCGATGATGGTAATCGTGGCATGGATATGTAGATATTCGAGAATGGTGTATGGGGGGTGGCGAGGTAGGGACCTTAGGTTGTTGTCGTTTTGCGTGACATGTAAATTCTAGTTTGGTATAAAAAAATGAAAATCGAAACGGGTGGGGGATGGAAATGTGAATGTGAGATAATAATAGAAGTAATAGAAATATATATTAAAGAATGAAAAGTAATTTTGCTTGTGGGTTATTTTTACTGTACTTTGGTGCTGTGAGGATAAGCTCAAGGTTAAAGCGGAGGGTTGTGGCCCAATGGGGGATTTTTGTTTGTTTATGGGTGATGATGAGAAAGATGCTGGGGCCTGGGCGAGACCATGATGACATATTCAGAGGTTCCATTTCCATTTGCCTGAACGTTTTAAAAGTGAGAAAAAACCTTTCTAAATGTTTAACTTTTGGGAATTGTGTCTATGTTTTAATGAATCGGATTAAACAAGTTTAAGCACAACCTAACTTTAGTTGAGGAAATGAGGGAGGCATTGATGTCACCCTATTTAGTAATAGGCACAAGGAAAAGGCAGACCCAAGCCCAGCTCCCGGGAGGGAACTGTCAACACCTATGGTCTGTTACTACTGCTACTTGTGCTTTTGTGCTTTTCGAGGAAAAAAGGGCGCTTTCAGTTTGAGGTGTGGGAAATGGATGGGTCATGGGGTTGTGGAAAGATTCCGTGGAACTTGATATTCTGGCTCTCTTCATTGCACCTAGGAGAGGAGAGGGGGAGTAGTCGCCTAGTAGGAGTGATTCTTGTGAATTGTGTGAAATGATAAAAGTTCAAAAGTTACTCGTAATAATTAAACCATTACAAGTCGCTTTCCACATTTCACAGATTTCATTGGCGGTGAAGGAGGACTACATTACGGTCAATTTCAATCATAATAAAATAATAATAATAATAATAGAGGTCATAAGGTCAGAGACAGAGCAATCAAACAGTTCATGCACCATATCTTCTCCATTACAGGTGGATACTGGAAAGGATCCCCTCATGTGTTTTTTTTTTCTTTTTCTATCCATCTATTCTCTTACAAAGAAGCATGCTTTTGTAAGGGAGAATAAATTTTTTCTATGTTTTTTCTCTACTCTAGTAATGATAAATGAGCATTATGGAATTAATGTAACAGCATTCCTTCTCTTCAAATCAAACACCCTTTCTACCAGGCTCTAACACCCAGAACATTGTCACATATTTCAATTATACAAACCGACATCAAAGGCAATTTAAGCATGTACATATTCTACAGACTTGCAAGCAGCAATTCTACACGGAGAAATACCATTTACATATCCCACAATCATACCATTACCTGTGGCTCAAACAAATTCTGAAACAAAGCTTTAAATACTTTTAGAGCAACAATGTCACTTAAACCATACTATCACTAGCTGTAATCCTCATGCATAGATTAGCCTCAAAACCTCTTCCTCAATTTACCTTATCTCTAGGCAAACTAATAAGGAAACCACCACAAAATATACTATCAATTGGAGGCCAGAGGGTGCTGTGATGCAAGCCTTCTTTTTCTTAGCCGCTCTCCAATAATGAAGGCAAGCTCTAGAGATTGAGAAGCATTAAGCCTTGGATCACAATGGGTGTGATAGCGTGAACTCAGATCATTATAGGTTATAGTTCTTGAGCCTCCAACGCATTCTGTCACATTCTGCCCTGTCATCTCTAAATGAACTCCTCCAGGATAGCTACCTTCTTGATCATGCACATCAAAGAATGCTCTCACCTCAGCCTAACAAAACATAAATTATTACCACAGTCATTATAATAGGAATTAAAAAATCAAGAAAGATTTCATAAATTACTCATAAATCGATGATGGAGTTCCAATAGGTAAATATTTCAAACGGCTTCCTTTGAGAATCACTTTACATATTTCTTTTAGGTTAAACTTATGATATTGAACTGGTACTTGATCTCAAATACTTCTGTATAAAGATGGCAGATTTGACAAAAACTGAGAAGCTGTAACTATCCAAGTAGGATTGTTTTGTTTTGAAATCTTGAGCAACATGGAAATAGCTACTGTAATGTCCATAAAAATGATAGCAACCATACCCTGATTGCATCAAAGGAACGAGTTTTCAGTCCACAAGGAGCTTTAGTGGTGTTCCCATGCATGGGGTCGCTAACCCAAGTTATAATCTGCCCAGCTCTGCGGACAGCCCTGATCAAATGGGGAAGTTTCACTCTCATGTTCTCAGCTCCCATCCTTACAATGACTGTTATCCTACCAGGCTTGTTCTGAGGATTTAGAATTTCAATGAGCCTAACTAGCTCCGTAGGATCCATCTTATCACTAACCTGCATCACGATTCTATCGTTTAGTCATTTTGTCTGGAAATTCAAAGTTAATCACCAACAACATTAACTGCTTTACAAAAGAAAAAAAAAAGTCACTCAATGATCTATTGAATGCTTTAATCTCATTCCAGACTAAGTATACGTTGTCAAAAAACTTTAGTGTACTTAACTGAAAGAGAACAACAAGGGAAGGTACCTTTATGCCCAGAGGATTAGCAACTCCCTTAAAAATTCAACATGAGCACCATCAAGCTGGCGGGTGCGCTCCCAACCCAAACCATGTGAGCAGAGCAGTCATAGTAAGCCAGAAGTTGAATCCTCCTAGTGAGTGGCCTGCTCATTAGAGCGAAGAGCAAGCACTCATGAGACGTCCAAAAGTCTGTAGTTGTCATGATAGGGTGACCAACTGTGAGTCCAGCAGCAGCCATGAACCCCATAGCCTCATCAACTCGGTGAGCCAGTTCACGGTACCTGCACAGGCACACCGAAAAAAACATGTTCATTCAACATTAAAAGTACCAAAAATCTCGAAAAAGAGAGCTAGTGCAAGTGTTCAGCAACTTCAAGCAAATGGTTCCTAGATATTCAGGCAAAACACTTTCCACCCAGATAATGATGCAACATCACACATAAAACAAACATTAACCCTAAAAGAAACCCAGAAAAATAAAAATCAAAAGCGTTTCCCTTCTAACATACTTATCATTTCAAATCTTAAGAAGAATTAAAGAGAAAATCACCTAAAGGTAATAAATAAAAAGAAAGGAAATGCCATTCTGTCATGTATTGGACCTAATGCAGAAACTGAACTTCAATCAAGCTAATTTATAGGAACAAATTTGTGTCATTAATGTGAAACACTGCAGTGATAGCTAACTTAGTTTTTGCTTGGTAGTCTCCTAGAATTTGAACCTCTAATTTTGGCTTGAGTTATCATAGGCTATAAAGTGAAATTGACAAAACATTAGTAATGAAAGAGAAATCAATTAGCAAAGCAACTTATTTCAGTGCCATTTAAAGTCTTCTGGAATATTAACAATCAAACTTTGTTACCCTGCTCAAATGTTGGTTTCATGTATCAAATGTACCTTGAACAATGGATATTAATAGGCAATGACATGAATATGTTTTCACCATCCAAGTATATGTTTGAAATAGAAGGCAATAGAGTAATTCACCCAGCAATGTTGTTTGTCATAAAATGGCGTAATGTAATTGCTGAATCATACTAACACAACTTGTGAGCTTGTAATACTAACTTCAAGATCATGGATCTTCTCCTTGAGTATGAAAAGAACCACTATCACAGACAATGAGGAATCTTTCAGTATCTGATGCTGCACCTCTAGGACTGATGGAATGGGTTGGTGGAAGAGTAGTTATGAGTTATGGCAAATATTAGTTCAAGGGTCCTAGATGTGCAATAAAACTCCAATAACTGATTCAATAAACACCACATCATTTTAGTTAAAAACTCATAACAATCAAAATAGATAGAGGGGGAAAAGCCAAATAATTCATCATATAGACCAACTTCTTGATGCATAAAACAAAAGGTTTAGTTCAGGCAAATAAAAACACCTGTCCCCCTGCTCACTGTTCTCTGTAAAGTCTAGATTCCATTGTGAGACTCTCTGCATGGCTGCATACCCTCCGGTAGCAAATGCCCGCAAAAGGTTCAAAGTTGCCACTGATTGGCAATAGGCCCTGATCATCCTATGGGGATCTGGAACCCTCGCTTTCTCATCAAAAGAATCACCATTTATATTGTCACCTCTATAGCTTGGGAGCTTCACCCCATTCTTCTCCTCGAAGGGATCTGATCTTGGCTTTGCAAACTGACCTGCCATTCTTCCCACCTAAACAATCAGAACCACAAACTTAGATTATCCCACTGCCATTGTGAATAATAATTTGCATTGGCAAATAGCAAGGCATATTATCTTTAAAGAACTCAATATCAACTAATTGAGAAATCTATTCAACTGCATAATAAAAGGTTCCAGTAATATTTTGGAGGAGTCCACAACAACATCCCTGTCTTCTCCCCGCTTCCGATAATTACCATAATTCTAATTCCGCCACCAACAAAATCTCTCCTTGTCACCAAGTACCTTACTCGTAACCATCAACAGGAGTATCAGAAATATCTTGATTAGAGCAGCGATTTACCCACCAAAACAATCACCCCCACAACTTCAATTCTTCGTCAAATCATGAAAAACCTCAACACAAACAGGACAACCTATAAAATTCAAACTACCAATACAAATCAATAACAAATCCTTGATGAAAGGATAGGATTTCCAACACAACCTCAATTCTAACATAAAATAATAAGAAAAAAAAGTAAAACACCAAACAGCCAAAGAAGAAAAACAAAGAAAAAGCAGGGACCTTGATAACAGGCATTTGGCCACCAAACATAAGGACGACACCCATCTGGAGAAGGACCCTGAAAGTGTCACGAATGTTATTAGCATTGAACTCCTTGAAGCTCTCCGCACAGTCACCACCTTGTAGCAGGAAAGCATTGCCAAGAGCTGCCTGTCCAAGCTTCTCTCAAGGCTCCTTGCCTCCCCAGCAAACACGATTGGAGGGAACGTAGACAGCGTCTGGGACAGAGACGAGGTCGTTTTGATCGGGTATTCAGGAAGCTGCAGAGCCTTCTTGGACTTCCAGCTGTCAAGGCTCCATTTAGTGGGGATTGATGGGAGGTGGTCGAGGCCGCCGTTGATTTGGTTGACTTGGCTGGGTCGGCGGAATGGATGGCTGTGATGGGTTTGAGTTTGGCGGAGGAGAGGGTGGCGATAATGGCGGCGGGGGAGAAGAGGATATTTGGACGAGAGCAGAGATGGGGATGTCAGAGCCATGTTTTAAGTTTCACCTTTCTCCACAGAGTCAAAAGAGGGAGAGAATAGAGAGATAGAATGAGAAGACGGCAATATATATATATATATATATAGAAGAGAAGAGAGAGATATATTATATTAGAAAGCAGAGAGGACAGTGAGAGTCTGATAGGATGAATGATACTTTTGCCTTCTAGGATTTTACTGCCCAATAAAGATTTTCTGTAACTGACATCCGACAACGTGATTTCCCCTGGAATGAGTTACAACTTAGAACCGTGTCTGCCTGTCCGCTGGATATCATTCGTTTCG